CCGATTCGTAACCACTACGCTACCAGAGTTATGGTGTTAGAGGAGAATATTGAAAGTGCCATGGGCTGCCAAAAGAACCAATAGATATGTGTTGGAAGACCTGCAGCCAGAGTACTCCTTAGAGGCCAAGATGGTCAAACTTCATTTCTCATACTTTGGACATATTGTCAGGAGGGACCAGTCGCTGGAGCAGGACAATAAGATGGATTGGTCAGGTGGCAGCATAGATGGACACAAGCTTGGCAACAGTAGTGAGGTTGGCCCAGGTTCGGGCAGTGTTTCGTTCCACTGTGCATAGGGTCGCTATGAGTCGGTACCGACTCCATGGCACCTAACAACAACAATCATGAGAAGCCAGTTGCCAGGCCTTTCTTCCTAGTCTCTCTGAGTCTAGACGTTCTGTTGCGGCCTGCTTACTGTGGGTATTTGAAATACCCAAGGCATATCTTCCAGCATCACAGCAACAGGCAAGCCACCACAGTGAGGAAAAACTACGTGTGGATTGACTAGTAAAGTCCTATGGATTGGTGGCTGTCCCTCTCACCTGCAAATGAGCACCCCTGTGGAGTTAGTTCTTCACAAAGACTGGCCAGTCTCCATGCCCCAAAGCTCTGATCTGATTGGCCAGGCATGGTTGTATAGTCAAGCTCCTCAAACCAAAACCAAATGCGCTTTCATCCTGTGGATTCTGACTCATGGAAACCCTATTGTTGTCTTGTTCAATGCCGTCCAATTTGGTTCCCACTCATAGCGACCCTGTATAGGGTTTCTGAAGCTTTAAAGCGTCACTGGAGTTAAAAGCCTTATCTTTCTCCCACAGCGTGGCTAGAAGACTAACCGCAGAGCTTTTTGGTTAGTTTGCAGTCCAGTGCTTATGGTATGAAGCCACCATGCTACCCAGAGAACCTATTGTTGTTGGTGCTAAGTGCAGTTGAGTCAGTTCCCATTCATACAGACTCTGTATAGGATTTCTGAGGAGTGGCTAGTGAATTTGAACCATTGACCTTGCAGTCCAGTGCTTATCCTACAGTGCCACACCAGGACTCTCACAGGGCAGTGTAAAGCTGCTCTTTTGGGTTTCTGAGACTTTAAATCTTTACGGGAACAGACAGCTTAACCTTTCTCCTGAGGATTAGCTAGATGGTTTGAAATATTGACCTAGTTAGTGGTCAGCAACCCAAAGTGTAACATACTATGCCACCAGGGCTCCTGGTCAAATTCCCCAGGCAACTGCAAAGTGCAGGCACAGATGAGAACCAGAGCTATATTAGGAGTGTCTTGTCCCCAGTGAGTCTGAGATGGGTTAGGACCTTCTCTACAATCCCCTAGTAATTGACAGATCTGGAATCTACACCCAAGTGTTCTGACTCCAAGTCCTCCAAGACTCCTTCCTTTATCCACTCTGTTTCACAGTGTGGGGTCATCAAGGCTAACTACAAAGTAATGGTCCTTAGATTCATTTTTGTAATTGTTCTTAAATTGCAAGCGCAGTACATAGTTAGGGTCACAATTCAAAGAAAAGAGGTATATACTTTCTTTGATTAAAAGTCTTCACTCACCATGACC